AGACGCTCCCGGGTTGTGCCCCACACAGTACATAACAGACGCCTTCGGGATCACCCCTTCAGAAGCCCAAGGCTTCACATCAGGCCACCCCTCGGGGATCCCCCCTCAGCACTGTAAGGGCCGGGTAGCCCCCGGGGAGTATGCCTCATTGACGGATAGCCTACGGCACACAGGTAATGGGAGCCCTCGGATATCCTCATCACCAACTAATCAACAAACAGGGGACCCCCCGGTAACAATTCAACTACTACCTGCATTCATTACGCCCTCGATCCCCAGATTGAGGGACCCGCCTTCGGCACCTCCCAGGACATCAACAACAAGCCTCCGGCTAATCAACACATGAGCCCTCAGAACAAGGAGAGCCTTCGGCATCATCATTATTCTCCATTTTGAACCAAGGTTTCACATTTTCGATTCATCGTTGGGGGAATTCGGTGCACTCTTTTTCCCTCATTAGGATTTTTTCCCACACGGTTTTTCCTAATGAGGTTTTTAACGAGGCATCCCCCCAAAATGAAACGAAAAGCGTCAGCCTTCGGCCCACAACAGCAGCGCAACTACTCTACTCCTTTTCACCACTTTGCAAGTGCCTCAAGGAGTGGGGGACTGGAGGACCCCCTCGGGAAAAATCACAAAAATCACAAACATGACCCCTCAAGTCCCGACATGTGGGTAACTGAGGGACTGCCCTCGGCAGAATAAACAAACAGCAAACTACCCACGACTCTACAAACTACAAACGGAACAGCGGCAGAGGACAAACACAATTACTCCTTTTTCCTCAAGTACCTTTCGGCAAAAGGAGTGAGGGACTCCTGATGGAGTATATGGCCCGGGAACCCCCGGCCCACAGATTCCTACTGCTCCAATAAAGGCCCAACAGGCCCAGAAAGCACAACAGGCCCAAATCACGGCGCCCAAGATACCAAGCAGCCCACAAATGCGCACCAGGGGTGCCTTCGGCCCCCTGGCTGAAGGCTCTAACTCTCACAGGAGGGCCAAGACAGCAAAACAAAGTTACTGGGGAAAACGGTGAAAAACAGTAGCCCTCGGCACCCGGAGCCCTCGGCACCAAGGGGGTCACCGGTACTCATAGCCCTCGGCTAGTCCTCTACAGCCGAGGGCACCTTTCCCGACATGATATCCGCGCCACATGCGTACAGATCACCGTACCCTGTACAACGTCCCATCCAACAACCGCATTAAATGCGGCCACATGCGGTTGCCAGCGCCAACCGGTTGAGGTGACCTCTCGGCCAATGGACGCTTGACACGTGTCCCTGTCCGGCATTTATTGCTACTATAAATAGCACCCCATTTCCCCATTTGTAACCAAGTGATAAGCACTGCATACTTTCTAAATACACTTTCTCTCTCTATACTCACTTGCTCTGACTTCTCTCTTGTTATTCCCCACAATAACCCCTCGGATAAGCTACCCCCCGGTACACTATCCATCACTGGTATAATCTTATCTTACTTGTTCTAGTAAGTTTGGTCTAATCTAGTCTGAACTGGTCTGCCTTATTAGAAGTATGTTTATGCGCGAGCATTTTTTCTATATCTGTTATACAACTATCGAATTTTGATTTGGTTTGATTTGGGATAAAAAACATCTCAATAAAACATCTCAATTAAACAAAAAATTCTATATACTGTCCATCGTAGTTATATGATATTAGAACAAAAACAATATTATTCAATACAAAGATGAATGAAAAAGTATATATATAACCATCAAAATATTAACGAATATTGTATACGACGAACTGAATGAATCACATCACAAAGAAGAACATGGATACAGATAGTGGGACAGATGAATACCTCATAAGTGTAAAAATCAAGAGTACTATTTTTTAGATAATTTTCAGATTCATCCTCCATTGTATAAGCAGATTGTAAAAAATTATAAAAACATTAGTAATGAATTCCAAATATTTATATAGTAGTTGTTTGATGATAGTTAGAAAGTGTAATCCTGATTGTATTAGGAATTTAAGTGTATTTGGAAACATGTAACACAAAATTTTGGAAATATAAAAACTTATTTTTATTTAAAAAGAAGCGATAACGGTTCCTGTCAAAAAAGAAGAAGCAATAAGTGTGTAACACAATTTGTAAACCTATTTGGAAAATTTTGGAAACAAATTTAAGTGGGTAATGGAAACCTATTTGGAAACTTATTTTGGAAACAACTTTAAGGCAATGTTTGGTTCAAGGTATATACAGGTCCAAATCTGATGCCCGGGATATGAGATACTTGTGTTTGGTTCGCGTGTTTGAATTTTTTATGAGAATGCTACATTCCCAAAAGTGAAAAAAGTAATCACATTATCGGTCATCTTAAACCACTAAGGCATTAGGTTATGTTAGATTCCTGGTTGCTTATTAAACTTTCTTCCTAAAAAACCCATGCTTCAATTAGTCGACAATATCATACTCCCTCCATCCCGAGAAGGTTCGACAAATTGACTTTTCGTGGTCAATGACAATCAACTTTGGCTAATGATATTTTTTAATATGAAATTAATTTGAATATGAAAATTATATCAAAATGTTCCTTATTCAAAATATTATCACAAAAGTATAAAATTTAGAAATTATATTAAAATATAATAATTAAAATCATTGTCCAAAGTTCGTCATCATTGATCAAGAAAAGTCAATATTTTGCTTAAAATTATTTACCAATGTTCACTAATCATAGTCATTTGTGCAATTAAACATACTTTGCTTAAAATTAATTCAATTAGTTTTGATTTTAATTATTACTAAGATGTTTTATTTTTCTATATTTTTAATTAGTTTAATTATAGGTTGTAATGAGTTTAATGTGTTCAGAGACAAATATTTAAGGGAAAACTATCAAATAAGTCCTCGTACTATACCTAAAAGGTCGATTAGACTCTCGTACTTTACAAACACTCAATTAAGACCTTGAACTATTAAAAAACGTTCAATTAAGCCCTTTCGGTCGGTAAGTAACTGGTTTCCCGGTTAAATGTAACCTGTTTCCCGGAAGCCGCCGTTGCTGGGGTTCGAGCACATCGTCGCCATCGTCGTCGTTTAACCGGGAAATCGGTTACTTACCCACCAAAAGGACTTAATTGAATGTTTTTTTAATAGTTTGAGGACTTAATTGAGTGTTTGTAAAGTACGAGGACCTAATCGACTTTTTCGATATAGTACGGGAGCTCATTTGATAGTTTTCCCAATATTTAAAGGACACTTAAGTAATTCACCAAATATGCAATATAAGATATAATTCAACGAAACACCTTAATGTCACATTCCCTTAATCGTAACCAAACACAAATCGGTTATACATCTAGTTAGCTTTTTTCCGTTTTAAACACGTTTTAAACGCGTACCGTTTTTTTGAACAAAAAAACACGTTTAAAACGAAAAATAACGTCGGTCCGTTTAAAAAGGAAAAAACTCCTACTTCCCATATTAAACGTATTTTTCCCGTATTTTACTAAAAATAGAAATATGAATTGATCAATTGAATGAACACATTAAATGCATATGAGATCAACAATAGTGTAAAACTAAAAAAGAAAAACTCCTCTTGAATTGTGACCCCATGTTTTTGTATTGTTACAATACAATTATTAAATACTAAAATTAATTGCATGATGACTTAAACTTGCATCCCTTAATTTACAAAAAATAAAAACATGAATTATATTGATGAATTGAATGAACACATTAAATGAGTATATAGGGGATCAACAATAATTTAAAAGAAAAAAAAGAAAAGCTCCTCCATGTGACCTCATGTTTTTGTATTGCTAAAACACAATTACTACAATTAAATACTAAAATTAATTGCATTGCGGCTAAAGTTGACATTCTTAAAGACTAAAACATAAAATACTACAGAGTACTAGATTTCTGATGTTTTTTCAAAGTATGTCAAAATTTAAGTTTTTCTGAACCTGACGTTTTTTTAGTATAAACTTTTACACATAAACAATAAGAAGCGCGCGTAGCAGTCACATATGTCATCCGTCATCTTGATGAAAATGATGAATTTAAATTGGTGTTATTTGATGATCATATAAAGATAATCATTTTAACTTAGTCTCGATCTATTTTTTTATGTCTTATTTGTTGACATTAGTTTACAAAATCATGTCTTGGACTTAATTACTATTTTTATTTTTGTCATCGACTTATGCAGTCACGAGTTATTCTTTTATGTAGTAATGAGATTTGCTACTTGAATATGTGTATACTTTTATTTCTTTTTACTATATATGTTCTTTTGTAAAGTATATAATTTAAATGTTCAAAATAGTACCCGTATTTTTTGTCCGAATTTTTGTAACAGATACCGTATTATACACGTATACGTATTTACACGTTTTTTAAAAGTCAACGTTTTTAAACGAATTTTTGACCGTTTTTTCATTAATGTTACCGAATAAAATGCATACGTATTAAACCTCGTTTAATTCCCGTACCGTATTTAACTAACTATGGTTATACATTAATCACATTCCCTTCTATCCAACATACCCGCTAATCTAATATTCCTGCGGTAATATGACATTCCTTGAACCAAATGCACCGTAAGGGTATGTTTGGCATAACTAGGTGAAAAGATACTTTTGTGAGCTTTTTAATAACTGTTAGCTTTTAGTAACTGAGAAGATCTTAAAGAGAAAAGGTGATAGCTGTTTGGTAAAAAGCTGACTATTTGATTTAGTTCGGTTTGCTATACAAGTTGTTAGAACTAATTAATACTAAAAGTCACGAGTTTTTTTCAGATGCTACTCCTTGTAGCATCTCAAAAAAGATCTTTTAATTTTTGAAAAACTTTTAAAAATTGCCATGCCAAACATAAAACTAAAAACTTATATGGACTTTTTGAACAGTACAAAATCTAGAAAACAGATAGTTATGCCTGCCAAACATAGTCTAAATGTTAGGTGAAGCTCCTATTTGTGGTGGGTGAGGTGCACCCAGCACAGAACAAAATTGAGAAACCCAGATTTAATTGAGTAGGGATACATTTGTCCACTCCACTTCTGTTAAAAAATCGATGCGCAGGGCCTTAATAGAGGCACGCCCGAGCAGGAGCGTTCAATACACCACCCCAGCTCTCCATGTCGCCTCAGGCGCTTCACAAATCAAAACCCTAGCCCGCTTTCCAACTCTTCGACTTCTCCATACCCTTCGTTATAAACTCGCCAATCCACACCGTGAAACTACCTCCCCGACGATCTTTATCGGAATTCATCACCCAACATTGTCGTACCTCTAGAAATGGAGATCTGCACACGAGCTATATCCAATCTTCCTAAGCCTGGCCGTCTGTTCACTCCTTATTACAGTCGCCTTTCGTGGACAAAGAACTCTTCGAAATTCTGCTTTAATCCAGGTTTTTCGATCTTCGTCGTTCTCTCTCGCACACATACTTTTCGACGGTTTCGATTTGTGAGTTGTTCGTATGATGCTCATACGCTGCACAGTCCTCCTGCTTCTTTTTGACATCTGCTCATGTTTATTTAATTTTTCCTTTGATGTTTCCATCCATCTTGTATTTTTTTGCTGTTCAATGGTCTTTTTATCTCTTTTATTTTCAGAGATGTGAATTCCTGCAAATAAAACAGAGATTTATTACATGCCGATTTTCTGCTTTATGTGTTAATATTGTCAGGAGTCCTCCAACACAGCATTTCATCTATCAGATTTGTTCAATCGGAAGAAACATCTGGCTTTACTAGTCAATATCAATTTGTGAAGGCTGAACGGGATGACTTTCTAAGTACTGAAGATTCTCTATCAGTTGATCAGATTAATGCCCTTGATTCTGTGCAGAACAAAGCACTTCAACCAGAGGTTAACTATGAAAATATAACCACGGATGAGAATGCAGAAGACAATCCTCTTTCTGAAATCCAAGCACAACTGTCCATCCTTCTTAAAGAGCTTGATATAGAGGTTTGCCTCATTGCTTGTAATCATTTATGTTGCTCAGGTGTAAATTGTTCACAATCTGGCCGAATTACATATAATTCCCTTTTATCCATGTAGTGGATGTTTTTCCAAACACTCCCTAAAATGCTACTACCTCCGCCCCTTAACTTTGCCTATCTTTCCTTTTTGGGACGTCCCAAAAACTTTGACACTTTCCCTTTTAATCAATTATTTTGTGTTTTCTGGTATTTCTCTCTTCTCTACGCAAACCTCAATCACACAGTTTTTACTTTATTATTCTCCGTGCCTTTGTCAAAGTTTTAAAGGATGGAGGTAGTATTTTAAAGCTGGAGTTTTTTCCCATTGAGGGGTGTTTTTCAAACTTATTTCTCAAACTAAGGTACTTTTAAACTTATTTCCCAAACAGGGGTATTATTTGCCATGTCACCTCAGTATCACTGCTGGGCGCCACATCAGCTTATCCACATCATCCCATCAATTTCATGTCATCAATTTTGAGAGTTTAGGTGTGCTTCTAAAATATAGAAAAAAATGAAACTAACAGGATTCGAACCTGGGTGGAACACCAGAAAGGCATGTATGTAAACCACTACACTACACCATTCACTTGTTAACAAATGTCTTTTAAGAAGTATAAATCATGTATACTTCACCCCGGGAGTGCACTATTTCTTAATCGCATGTATTATTTGTTCCTTTAGAAATACGAAGTATATTTCTTCCTTTCCCAAACAATTAAAAATATAACAATAAAAAACTTATAAAATAAAATAAAACATAAGTAAATTTCATGCTAGTCCACTTTAAATTCTATAAAAGGTTTAATATTAATGTAAAATATCGTATAAATTTTTCTTTATGAAAATTCTCTAACAGCTCAATTTTGTTCAGCCTCAGCTCGACTCCGCCTCAGAACCAAGCATTTTTCGTTTATAAATTTATCAAGTTTTTTTCTTTCTTAGATAAATATTATATGATTTTCTTGACATGAATAGTATCTGATTTTAAATTGGGGTGGGATAGAGCCTTTCATAACATTTAGTAACAATAAATTTTAATTAAGTCTTTATTTTTAATTATCACAAACCTAGTATTTTGCATAATTTTTTATTTATTTTAAAAAGAAGCTATATATTTTTAAAGCAATGAGTAATACACAGCTAAATGTATACATTCTTCGACTTAAAGTATTTGTATTGCAAATTTCACTAAAATTTAACATGTTACAATTTAGTTCAAATTTGAGTGTTGTATTTGAATTTGAAACAATAATAATCAATGAGAAAATTGAACCGAGTCCAGAAGAGTTGAGCTGCTATAATGAAATAATCACAACGAAAAGCTTAGTTTGCGATATTTAATTCTATAAAAATGTAATTTAAATTTATAAAAAAATTGAAGTATATAATTTAAAAGTTATTTGAAATAACTCAAAAGTAAATAAAATAAAAAATAAGTAAATTTCATGCAATAAGTAACTTAGAAATAAGTAACTTAGAAATATGACATTTATTTTAATTGATTTTATTTCATTTGAAGCTAAGTTATTTAAAAAAATACATATTCCAAATTGTGTTTTGTCATTATAAGTTTAGATTAATTTTTTGTATTCTAAATAAAATATTTCTTTATTTTTCAAATTAAATTAGCAAATTATGTTTTCATTATAAGTTTTAATAAGATTTTTAATTGAATAACTCAAATTCAGTTTTTTATTATTACATTTTTTATTGTTTGGTAAAGAGAGATATTTCTAAAGGAACGAATAATACACGCGATTAAGAAATAGTGCACTCCCGGGATGAAGGATACATGATGTATACTTCTTAAAAGGCATTTGTTAACAAGTGGATGATGTAGTGTAATGGTTCACATACATGCCTTTCTTGTGTTCCACCCAAGTTCAAATCTTATTAGCTTCATTTTTTTCTATATTTTAGAAGCACACCTAAATTCTCAAAATTGATGACATGGAATTGATGGGATGATGTGGATAAGCTGATGTGGCGCCCCTCAGTGATACTGAGGTGACATGGCAAAAAATACCCCTGTTTGGGAAATAAGTTTAAAAGTACCTTAGTTTGGGAAATAAGTTTGAAAAACACCCCTCCATGGGAAAAAACTCTTTAAAGCTGTGTTTATCCATATATCATGCACTTGAATTAAGACTCAATGTGAATTAAGCATAAGCCTCACATTATCTTTATAAATTCTATAAAACTATTACACAACACTCTGCTTTACATGAGTAATGACACAGTCAATGAGCTTTGACTCTTGAGGCGTAATGACACAGGCAATGACATGGGCAATCATGGAAACTCGTTTAAGTAATATCTCGATACGACAAGGGCTTGGCAAAGAGTCTTTTTCATTGCTTTAAATGATCCCAAATATCTAAAGTACAACAACCACAAAATGTAGCTTCTTATTCACACATTTTCTTCTTGTGTCTTTCTGGGCTCAAAACACTCTAATGAGTTATTCTTGTCCTCAATCCCTCATTAATTTGCACAAGAGCCACTTCCAAAAATCTATTATTCAAAATCCAATTGTACTCCGTCACTTATTTGCACATTTTCATTCCATTAAACTAATGAGTAGGACCTCTTTCTTGTTGACCAGTTTGATCTTGTGGTGTATTTGTCTGTAGTGATTAGGACCTCTTTCTCATCGATTAGTTTGCATTCTTATCTATTTCATAGCATCTGGTATCTACTGAATTGAAAAGGAAGGATCATATTCCTTCATGTAGGAATATACCCCAAAATAGGAGTTTAGTACATATTTATTTTTACTTTGGATAGGATTTGTGTTCACCCAAGTCTTAGTTTTAAAAGGTGAGAGGTAGTATGAGACACTTTCATTGATTCATGTGAGGTGCGAGGCGCAAGTCACGCCCCTCATGGATCTTAACCACATATATTTGGTATAATATATTTATACTACTACCTGAAACACTCATCTCAAAAGCACTTCAAACTATTAAACAATCTTAATGTACATCATAAGAGAAACAAAATACTTCAAACTATTAAACAATATGCTTGTATATTAATAATAGTAATTTTTGATGAAGTGGTAATTGTAATTTAAATAGTTAATGTAATAAACTGCTGTAAAAAGTTGTTTTTAATAAAAACTATCTTATATATAGTGTTATCATTGTTATGTAGTAAACTATAAAATAATGGGAAAAGGGCCAAATAAGCCCTTCTACCATTTCAAATTTGTCACTTAAGCTCCTGTACTAAAAAAGCATCATATGGAACACGTCTACTTTAACAAATTGATCAATTTGACCATTCAATCAGTTTTTAACCTGTAGTAGGTTTTTAATATTTAAAAACTCTAGAAATTTGTTAAAAATTAAAGAAATATATATAAAGATTTTGATAATTTCCAAAATGTCAATCAATATTTTTGAATTTATGAAATTATTTGTATAGTCTACATCTATTTAATGGGTTTATATGATTTTTTGTAAGATTTATCAATATTCCTAATTCAATTTTGAAGGTCAAAATAGCTTGATTGATTGTATTCTAAAAGTAAGCGTACATATGTTATGCTTTTTTAAGTAGAATGGCTTAAGTGATGGATTGGAAATAGTAGAAGAGTCTATCTGACTCTTTTTCCTAAAATAATTCATAGTTAATAAACCATCACATGCTTACATTTTTGTGGGAGATTGGTTCGGCTCTTTAAATTTGTTTTATTTAAATATTTCTATAAATTTTAAAAACTAAAATAAAAGAGAACAAAGAGTAGACACTTATCTGCGAGTCTGCGACATGAGATGACAGTGGAAGAAACAGGGAGTGAAGATGTCAGAAGCAACACAGAAGGAAGAAGGGAGAAGACTAGAGAGACTTAGAGTTTGATGGAGTGAGGGATCTTACCTTATTGATATATAAGACCTATGAAAATTCTGGAAGTAGCATCTGAATCGTCAAAAGACTGAACTAATTCCATCGAACACTTCCTCTCAGACGTGCAAAAGGCAGCAAAAAGTGCGGCGTAAGGCGCGCCTCTTGGAACCTACTACGCCTGGGGTATATGGTGCGATAAATTGATCTCCTCACGGTGCCTCATGCCTTTGAGGCACGCTTTTTTAAACCAAGGTCCTAGTTACATTAACCCATTGGCCGACACAGGCAGTGGCTAATGCGGGCCACTGCCCCTCCAATATTTTCTTAGGTATATTTACCCCCAAATTTTAATATATATATGTATTGACAAATGTTCAGGTCCGGAATTCCGGACAAGAACCGCCGTCCGGCCGACGGATTTTGAGGCCCTTCCCGGTGAACTTTTTCGATGAAATTTTTATGTCATGTTCTTCATCAAGTCTAGTTTATCCACAAAAAAATTCAGCTAAAAACTCAATCCTGAAGGTCGTCAAATGATTTTTGGAAGTTAACTGCGTTTTATATGTATTTTGTGTCTGTTATTCTAAATCCACTTGACCTTTTCTTGGATAAGTGAACTTTTTATAGAATTATTTTCTGGGCAATCGGAAATATCTAATGTTTAAAATAGGATCCTCAGTAGTTCAGTTGGTGTAACTTCAGCTTTCCCACCAAGCTGTGGTAAAAGTAATTGATTGTTCTGAGGTTGCAATGATGTGTTTCTTACATTTCGAAGGTCAATCATGATCAGATGAGACATTGGCAAATATGTCAATTCTGAGCGGTTAACTGAGCAACCTTTTATATTAAACAATAAATATTGCGTCATAGATTGTGGTTGAATACTTCAATTTTAGAAAAAGTGTATTTTGTTTGCAATACTTTTATGTGGAAATACTGTCTTTCTTTTCGTAAGACAGTTTTATATCTTGAGTGTATCGGTAGTTACAGTTAATTATCTTGAGTACATCTGTAATTCCATCATCTTAAACATTTTTTGCTCGTGTTCTCCTATCTTGTTTTTGAAAGAGGTGAAATAAGAAAGAAGAGCTAATTAAAGATTTTTTATCGCTTGAATTATTTTTCTTTGTGGCAGTGAAACTCTAATGTTATGATTTTAATCTTCATACCAAACACAAAATTCAAAATCATGCTCATTTTCAATCCTTTCCAATCATGCTTATTTTTAAAATCATGCTTATTTTCTAATCTTGATCATATCGGTAATTCCATCATTTTAACTTTTTTTGCCCGTGTTCTCGTATCTTGTTTTTGAAAGAGGTGAAATAAGAAAGAAGAGCTAATTAAAGATTTTTTATTGCTTTAAGAGTTATTTTTCTTGGTGGCAGTAAAACTCTAATATTATGATTTTAATCTTCATAACAAACACAAAATTCAAAATCATTTGCAATGGAGCCAAAGATTCATTATTTTTTGGCTTGAGATTATGATGGAATAAAGCAAAATGGCTCACTAAACTGTCTGCGCTTCTTTGTAATGAAGCAGCAGTTAGTCCATGCAATTTTGGACGCGATTTTCACTATGGGTCATTCGGAAACAGTCTCTCTGTGCTTTAGTATAGGGGTAAGACTGCATACATCCGACCCCCCCTTACCCCACCGTAGGTGGGAGCCTTTGCTGCACAGGGGTAAATGAAAATGATGAAATGATGAACAAACACAAAATTCAAAATCATGCTTATTTTCCAATCCTTTCCAATCAAGTCTCCATATTTTTATGTCATTACTTCCATTGTTATTTCTTTCTTCCCATCATTGTGTGAGAAAAGCAATCTTTTCACGCGGGTGAATCTAATCCTTCAGCATAATTTTTCTAGGTCTATTTGAATTTTTGGTCCTGGGTAGTATCTGATCAACTCATTGATAAACAGCTTTGCCTGAAATATGTGTTTATATTTTTCAAATGTTGATTACTGTTACCATTTTTGCAATAGTATGATCCTGAAAACTTGTCCACTCTTGTTGCACTTGGCGGAGGAGCTGCAGTTGCTCTTTGGATGATGAATGCTGTTGTTGGTGCTATCGATTCAATTCCTCTAGTCTGTTACTCTAATCTTTTCTTTTAGATGAATCTCTTCGTACTTGTACATATTCTGAATGTTTCTTATACTTGTTTTTATGATTAGTAGTTCCCAAAATTGATGGAAGTTATTGGTCTCGGCTATACACTCTGGTTCAGTACCCGCTACCTGCTTCTTAAGGTAAGAAAGTCTAAAACATGTTTTATCGCCCATGCCAAGAATATGTTTTTGTTTCTGCTATGTCAAAATTAGTGTTTATGTTATTCATGCTTAATATATACTCCATCTATATATCTTTTTTAGTCTAAACCTAAAAAACCGAACGGAGGGATAATGGCTCTTGGGTTGAAAAGGGGAGTGATGAGTTCTGTCTGACCTTGCTTTTTGCGAAAGAAAGTTCACATGGCCTCTGTTTTGAACCATGCATTTTCTCGAGTAGTGGGTTGGCAGTGCGGGACTAGAAGGCAAACAAGTCAAGTCGCTTGTGAGCTACTCGTGAGCCGCCCTTTCAAAACATGGTTAGAGTTTGGTCAATCTTGAACTTGAGCCGACTCGTTAAGCAATCAAGCCGTGCTCGAGCTGAAATACTTTTAGCTCGTGGCTTTATGAGCAAACATATACTCCCTCCGTCCCACAAAACTTGGCCAAAGTTGATAGCACATAGATTAATAAAGTAAAATATGTGTGGTTGAAATTTGTGCAGAGGAGAGTGAAATAACTTTAGCCACATATTCCTTACTTTAAATGGAAATGACAAGTTTTATGGGACGGAGGAAGTATTACTCCTGTCTCATTGGACATTGCGAAGTTTGTATTAGGTGTGAAATAACAAAAGTAAAAATTATGTGATCGAGAGTTGTACATGAGAGAGAAATAAGCCTAAATTACATTTGTGAATAATAAGAATACATTTACTTGGCTAAAAGGATAGGAACTTTATTTGCGTGGAATGTGGATGAAAAACTTCTACACGGGGACAGAATGTTTGAAATGTAATTCATTGGTTTTGTTTCAAGTTGAGTCCACCTTCCACTCTTGGGCTCAGCCTCAGCCTGAGTCTCATCCCAATAGGTATAATCCCCATAGCCTCTTCTTTGTTTGGCTAGTATTTAAAAAACGATTTTAACTTTGAAGTGGGGTACTATAATGCCATTTCGGCAGGATACCAGAGATGAGTTGGCTTTGAAGATTGAAGAGATCAAGAAACAAGTGATAGGCTCGGGCAGAGGTTGAACACTTGGTTGAGGTTGTCATACTAAAAAGGACAATGTGGTGTTACACAAGCCAGGAAAGGGATATCGCTATATTTAATTGATTGTTTCGTAAAATGTTGTCTGATGACTGATGCTGATCAACAAGTTGAAAAGGGATGTATATTTCACAATGTTATAGTGATGATTGAAGGAGCGCATCTGTATTTATTCTTTTGTTTTAATTACTAACCGTTAGGGGTGGATCTGGGCGGTTTGGTGCTGCTCTTTGGTAAAACATATAAAGACCTGAGACCGGCGTCTGCGCCACAAGACTGAAATACAACTACACTCACAAACTTATCTTTTTCTCGGGATTATTTTCTCGCAAAATGAAAAGGGTCAAATCACATAACACCCCTCTTTGTGTTATTTCATCAGAATTCCTAGTGAAGAGTAACACACTTCTAATTAATGATAACAATAGATAATCTAAAAAGCCTCGATTCAATGCTAATTTATTTTTTAAAGCTCTGAGATACTACATTTATTGACATCCTTTTAGATTTAATAAACTAGGCACGTTGTGCAATTCTTATTTTGTTAGTCGGGCTGGATTGGGCCAGGCCTGAGCTTGTTCTTGACGGGCTTTCGTCCTAAACAATTGAGGCCTGTACTGGTCCTGGCCGGGCTTCGGTTTGGTCTGGTCTCAGGCTGGGTCGATGCATTACTTATTTCGAGTGAGGGGGTGCGTTACCATAAGAAATAATGGCAGGTGTATGATTCACAGCTAGGGATGGACTCAGGTCCTGGCCGAGTCCGGTTCAGGCCTAGGCCCGGGTGGGCCGGTGGTTCAGGAGTGGTGGACCCGGGACCGGCCTAGGTAACCATCGGGTTCGGTCCAGGTCGGGCCCATTATCAATTTTTCTTTCCTCTTCCTAATTAACCCCCCTCCCACCCCAACCCCACACCACCCCAAATAGCCCAAAATACCCAGCCCTATCCGAAAATTTAAAAAAAAATAAAAAAAAATACTTTTGGCCCAAATCGGGCCCGGGTTCGGCCATGTCGGGCCTTGTTTTGGGTGACCCGAGCTCGGATCGGAAAAGCCACATGTCGGGCCTACCCGGACCGGTCAATGATCGGGGCATCGGGTCGGGCCGGGCTGGAACAGTACTAGTCCCGGGCCGGTTTCGGGTCGGGCCACCCCGGCCCGAGTCCATCCATATTCACAGCCTTCTCATTTCCAAAAGTATAACAAGTTTGACATTTTCCAAAAATGTGATCGGCTTTCCTTCTTCGCACAAGATTGGCCCAATAGATCTTCGCATCTTCGCATCTCTCTTCTCTGCACACTTCACCCTTCGCCAAAGCAGCCATAGACGCAAGACACGAAGCTCCTCAACCATCAGTATGGATTCACTCGCGCCGGGTGGCCTGACCCGGAACCGGCCCGGGACCGGCACTATTCCGGCCCGGCCTGACCCGGTGGCCCGGTCAGTGACCGGTCCGGGTAGGCTCGACCCGTGGGTTTTCCGGTCCGGGCTTGGGTCACCCAAAACAAGGCTCGACCCGGCCGAGCCAAAACTATTTTTTTTTTCAATTTTTTTTTTAAATTTTTGGGTTGGGTTGGATATTTTGGGTCATTTGGGGTGGTTTGGGGGGTTGGGGGTGGGAGGGGGGTTAATTAGGAAGAGGGGGAAAAATAGATAATGGGCCCGGCCTCCTCCTCTTCCTCCTCCTCCTCCTCCTCCTCCTCCTCCTCCTGTGCACAGTCACTGTAGTCGTGGTGCGGTCACTGTGGCCGGTGGGGCAGTCACTGTAGGCGGTGGGGCAGTCACCGTGGTTGCGGAGTCACTTTAGCTTGAGTCACTTTACACTGCAGGGGTTAATTGTGACGATGGTCACATTTTTGGAATTTTTAAAAACATCACTTTTTTTTTGTCTTTTATCCTAGTTTTAGTAATATCCAAGCCAAAAGGCCTTACCATAATGTGCAAGAAATTCATTAAATAATTGATGAAATAAGTTACTAACCTCGTTATATTACTGTTTAGGATATCAAGTACAAAAATACTCTAAACATTGTTGATAAGTAGCAAGTTTGAAACGAGGATCAAGAACAAAGGTAATACTCTCTCCGTTCCATTCAAAGGTTCTCACTTTCCTCTGTTGGACATCCCACTTAAAGGTTCTCCTTTTCTATTTTAGGAAATAATTACACTCTTTTGTTTGATCATCAAAACAAACCGCTTTATGTTAAAATCATAGGAAAAATCGTTACAACAAACTCAAAAAGACCAACCCTGATAATAACTATCCCTAACCAACTAGCATTATCAACACTATGGTTAGACTTAGAGACGATCATCCCTGAAAGAGCAATATGTATCGCTAACCACCAAACGGGTATGACACATCACATAGATCCTTCTATCGACATAATATCTAGCAGATTTGTCAATCATAATTGCAGACCTAGAACTAAAGACATCAACAAAAAACAGAGCAACATAAAAAATGTGAAAATAAAACCATAAAAAATTAAATAACTGATAAATTTTCTAAAACCTAACATCTCGATCGCTCCAAGGCGGCAGTTCAAGAGGAGGGCGGACCGCCGATCTGTCTTCTCCCTTGCTCAGTCCTTCACCCTCTACCCATGTTGATTCGCTAGAAATTAACCCCTTGATCTCCCCCTCAATTGCAGGAATGAGACAACACTGCTCTAAATCATTCATAGAAGACATGATTATCGTTTCTTAAACCTTGGATTCGTTTCCAAAGGTTGCAGTCACACTCACGCCTCATTAAAAAGCACTCTAGAAGCCTAGAGAAGAAGAGTCGTACAAACAATTGGCAGAAAGAAACCCTACGCGACGGCAATGCCGCTAGGGAGACAAAACCCTACGCGACGGTAAAGCCGCTAGGGAGATACCTTATTAGGGTTAGAGAGCGCTTAGACCCTCTCTCTCATAAGCCGTGTCTTATTAGGGAGAAACATTAACACTCTTAAATACTCCGTAACAATTTAATCATCAAATACTTAAAACAATATATTTATAACATCACATTTACCATGAAGAACCCACTGTATTATATATTCATCAAAATTATTTCTCAGAATATACTCGAATTAGCATATTTATTTATTGTCTAAATAACCGTGTCATTTTGCTAGGAAAACCTTTGAATGGGACGGATGTAGTACCATATATAGGGAGAATTAAGGTATAATATTTTAAAAACTTTTCTTTCATGAATTCAAAAAAAAAATGAACGTAAGGGGTAATGGATGATTCAGGAAAAGTACCGGCGAAATTAACAATTTCAACAAAAAATTGGTTTACAGCAGGTTTATAAACAAGATTAAAAGTTTGAGTTGCGTTATAACAAAATACCAATTTTTAGGCCGAGGCGGTGCCATAATTGTTGGCTGCATTTTGTCCTTCATTTTGAGGACGATAAATGTCCTTCGTTTTGAGGACGATGAATGTCCTTCGTTTCGTGGATGATGGATGTCCTTCACTTTGAAGACGATGAATGTCCTTCGTTTCGAGGATGATGGATGTCTTTTACTTTTAGGACGAGGCGGTGCCATAGTTGTTGGCTGCCTTTCGTGCTTCTGGCCGAGGAGGCACCATGTTTGCTTTTGGTGATCCAGGCCGAAGCGGAAACATTCGTAGTTTGGTGTCCATGGCCTTGAGGGATGATGAGGCCCTAGATCAGAGGACATTTTGCGTCCTTGGTTTTACGGACGAAGAAAGTATTTCTTTAAAGACGATGCGTGTCATTGGCCTTGAGAACGAGGAGTGTCCTTGAATTGGAAGACGATGTGTGTCCTTGATATTGAGGACGATGTGCGTCCTGCTTTTTGCTTTGGCTTGGCTGAAGGTGGACGTCCGTGGTGTCCTTGTCATTCTGGCCGATGGTGGATCACATGGTTGGGACGTCCGTGGCTTTGTGCTTTTGACTTTTAACTGATGGATCGTACGCTTGTGGACGTTGCGGTACATAGACGATACGATGTCGTTGCAGTTGTATACTTGTGCGTTCTTGGATATTCAATTTCATCCTTGCGTTTGGAGGCCGATGTAGCCCCCAGTCCCCCACTGCCCGAGGCGAGAGTACTCGAGGCGAAAGGGAGTAGAGTAATGTAGTCTTTCAACATGGGGCCGATGGTCGACACCTTTTGATCCACAATGGGGCAATGCCTCGTTAAAAACCTCATTAGGAAAAAACACGTGGGAAAAAATCCTAACGAGGGAAAAAGAGCACACCGAAAGCCCCCAAAATGAACTTCAAGGGGTGAACCCTTCGGCCTGGTTGTGGAGCTGCTGCGGTGTCCGTCCGCTGAGGGGACGCCCGTCTGCTGGTGAGGACGACGGCGCTGATGAGCCGATCCGAATCTGAGGACGAGGTGATGGATGCCTGTCTGAACATGAGGACGAGGCGGTTGACGCCTGTCTGAATATGAGGACGACGACATTGATGGGCCGGGCGTCGTATAAGGGCAACAGTCGCTATCCAGGAAGGGAATGGCGAGCCCAGTCGTAAGCTCAAGACTTTGGCGCTGAGGGGCCATCTTGAGGTAGATCATCACGCCGAGCCCGAGGGGCCAGTCGTGATATGAGGACGACGACGCTGAGGGGTCGGTCCGAAAATCCATGCAACGGCCGCACTCCGGTAAAGGAATGGCTAAGACCGGTCTTCAGATAAATAATCACGCCAAAAGACCGAGGGGATGGTCGTGATATCAGGACGACGACGCTGAGGGCCCGGTCCGAAAATCCATGCAACGGTCGTCATCCGGTAAAGGAATGGCTAAGACCGATCTTGAGAAAGATAATCACGACGTGTCGAAAGGCCGTTCGTGATGTAAGGACGTCGGCGCTGAGGGGCCGATCCAAAAGTTCGAGCAGCGGTCCTCATCCAAAAAGTGAGAGGATAAGGTCTGTCTTCAGAGTATGATGATCACGTTGAGAACGAGGGGTCTGCCGTGATATGAGGACGTTCAGTGTTGAGGAGCCAATCCTATGATATGATGATGAGGCGATGATGAAGCCGATCATCATATGAGCTTAAGGCTCTTGGCGCTGAGGGAGCCGACCTTGAGAGTAAGGACCACGTGTGACCGAGGGGTCTGCCGTGCTCTGAGGATGACGGTGGTGATGAAGCCGTTCGTCGCATGAAAGCGAGGGTCACCATCGAGGAATGGAATGGCGAGCCCGCTCGCTAGTTCCAGACGCTCAGCGCCGAGGAGGCCGGTCTTGAGAGAAAGGGTCACGTTGAGACTGAGGGGTCTGCCGTGATCTGAGGACATTCGGCGATGAGGAGCCGGTCCTATGATATGATGATGAGGCGATGATGAAGCCGATCGTCACGAGTTCAAGGCTCTTGGCGCTAAGGAA